TATATATATATATATATATATATATATATATATATATATATATATATATACTATATATATATATATTGTTCAGCTGTATTTATTTAGAAACGTTTATAAATAAAAATTGTTCTGACTTTATAATAAGGAACTTGATTTTATTTTTTAATATTGTAAAGATTTTAAATATATATAATAATATATACAGAGTGTCTGGTAACTCACAGAGAAGCCGTAGTGTACAAATAGATTAGGTAACATATCATAATTATGGGTTTATAGCAGAAGAATTAGCATTTATTATCTTTTAAAAATAGAAGAATTCTATTTGATTTTTTACTTCTCTATAAAATCATGGGAAGATTAATTGTTAACTCTTTTTATTTTAGAATTGATTACCTTTAATATTCCTGTAAGGAATCATCCTTTTTTTTTTATTAAGTTTCTATCGAACTTTATATAGTAGATATAAATCAACTAATTGCTTAGTCATTTATACGAATAAATTGTTAAATTTAATAGAGACATCTTTCATACACATATGTCGCCATCTACTGTTAAGACTATATCCAGACATCTAAAAAAAGTCGAGTGTCTTATAAATTTTATTTTATATTGTAAGAATTTATATAACGTTTAGAAGTTTATTTATTATCACTTTTTCCTAGTTTCCTTGCTACTCTGCTTTTTATATTTTTATTTCTTTTTCCTACTTTCCTTGCTACTCTGCTTTTTATATTTTCATTTCTTTTCTTTTTTCCTTTTCGTGTGTATTCTTTTTATTTTTGCTTTTCTGTTTGTATTTCTTATTTTTTTGTATAATTATTTAGGATGTTATACTAAAGGGACTCCTGTTAAATGAATGAATAAATAAATAAATATGTACGGTGTGTATATCTTCGTAATAACATAGAGGAATATTATCTGCATCATCTTTGTATAATCAGTCACTGAAAGATGACACAAAAATTCTGGAAAGTTTATGTGCCGATTTTCTCTGCTTTGTACGTACAAAACGTGTATACTAACTATTATTGCCGTGACTGTCGTGACTACATGAACGAAATGATCTTCCGATCCCTGCATCTCTGTTACGAAGATGACATCCGATTACTCAATTTGATTATATAATATTTAAATCGCAGTCTACCGTTAGTCGACGTTGAGAAAAATAGAATAACTTTTAACAACGTGGTGACCTTCAAACGGGTCTCGAGTATCCGGTGATTGAAGTCGCAAGTTGGAAGGTTTCCATGTGAAAGTCAAGGCCAGCCGGTTACAAACCGCATGTTTCGTCTTGTGCGGATCGGGTTTTATTATTATTGCAATATTTTATGCGTACTCACGGGCACGCGTTCGGTGAAAGCGAATCGTTGGACACTTTTACGAAAATTGCACTGACCGTCTGCCTTTCTCGAATCGAACGTCGACAGGATTGAAGGTTTCGCTGCGAGATTGCATGTTTACTCGATTGCCTAGATGTATATTCAAAAGAAAAGAAATCTATAACAAAGTTGACACGCGCGAATATACGTGCGAGTATACACAGAAGTGTAACTCGTGATAAACAATTGAAAAGAAAGTTATTCTTCATATAAAAGTAAGTAAAATTTTTCCATAAAAGACTTTTGTAAAAGATAATTGTTAATCAGAGTATAATCAATTCCATCAAAGTTTGTTAATAACTAATTTCATTAATCGAAGAAATTATTTGTAATTTTATTAATGATGATTGATTATTTTTTATTACTGATTTGCCGATTATTATAGCAAAAAACATTGATTAATTAATGTATAACACTGATTATAAAACTTTATTGAATAAAGATTAGTTCCACTCTATGTAGCATATCGATAGTATGCTACATAGAGTGGAATATATTAGTAGGCAAACCGATTTTTTGTTTTAATTTAACCAATAAAAAAGACGAGTGACGCCATATGGCGTCCCTACTTTAATTTAGAAAGCATTTGAAAAAAACCACCAAAAGTCAACAGCAAATATTACCCAAAAGTTTTCGAGGTTACTTATTATGAAACTACTATCAGATTTTTAAAACGAAAAAAATTGTTTTCAAATTTATCACACTAAAACTAATTTATAAATATATATTTTTAAATAGTTGGAAAACAAAATAAAAGGAGTTACGAAATAAAATAGAAAGAGAATATAAAACAAAGGAAAAAACAAAAAATTGAAAAAAATTAAAAACAAGAAAAACAAAAGAAAAAGGAAAATAGAGTTGTGTACTGGCACGTCATAATTCTGGTTTCAGCTGAGAACGGTTTCTTATTCCGAAGTAATATTTTTTCCGCCATATTGTATTCGCCACTTTGTGAACGGCAACTCTGGCACGTTGTTAAAATACTTGAAACAATATATTTTATTGAATGCAATATTTTTATGTGTACTTATGATAGCATAATATAAAATACATATAATTGTGGAAACGTATTTTTTTGTTTAAAACTTTTTTATAATAAGTGAGATTTACTTTTGCTATTTTGCTTAAAAACTAGTACAAAGATTTTATTCTTCTGAAAATCGATTTTTTAAATCTGTTAAATATGTATACAATTAAATGGGCAAGAAATTGTTTTTTGTAGTACCTACTTGCAGCAGAGATATTGCTTCTGCCATCATAAGCTTTCAAAATAAGTAGTATATCAGTATATTTTTTATTAGATGTTACATCATTGAGATAAAATTTAATTGTAGCTAAGCGACAAATAAAATAGTAGAATGAATAAAAAATAAATTACGTCAGCTTCAATGTTTGACTATATAATATATAACTATATAATATATAATACGAATATAAACTATATAATACGAATATAAAGTATATAATACGAATAAAAATTATAAGTAACATGATACATTAATTAAGCCGTATACAGTCATAGGCATGTATATCTGATAAATCTTAAAAATTAATTTCTTGAAAGAAAACTTCATACGAAAGAATGTTTTTATATCTTCCATTTTTTATTTCTATACGAAAAATCCTTTACTCGATGATACCACAAATTACATTCCACTTTGTATATTTATTTTATATACTTACAGTTAAATTAAATTAAATTAATTAAGTTAAAATAATTTGAATAATTCATAATTTAACCCATACAGTACAAATCTTCAAAAGACATTCTAAAGACGTTTTAAGAACATTTATACATCCTAAAAACATTCTAGAACATTTTCTGAAGATTTTGTGCTATCTGGGAATTATTTAAATTAATATAAATTATATAATTTAACTTAATTTAATTTTTATTTAACTCTCTTTTTGTACTTATAATTTAAATTAAATGTTAAATTAAATGTTATATAAATTTGTAATATAAAAGAAAAATATGTATATAATATATGTGAAGACGATAAATATAAAATACTAAATATATATGTGTGTATATTAAACAATTCTTTATCTGTTGCAGAAGCGTATTGTATATAATGTATCAAAGAACGAATTTTTTAAGGCGATCAAACGTCTTCGAAGAGGCCGGCTTGCATTTCCTTCAAATTGTTTTCATAGATGTACAAGCTACTTTCCATAGGAGTAGTATTGAGGCCATACAGAGCACCGTTCTCCAATTTGTGAAAAGGATTCCTTGATATATCCAAAATGTAAAGACTGCCGAGATTCTTACAGGAGCCTTTGCGGATCTCAGTGATATCATTTTCCGAGAGCCAAAGGCGCCTTAGATGTCCCAAACCTTCATAGCTGTCACCGTCGATGGTCGTCAAATTGTTGTTATTCAAGTATAAGTCCCTGAGAGTGGGCAGGTCGAAGGCACTGCGTGCTATACTAGATATTCTGTTTCCGGTCAAGGACAAAGATAGCCTAGGAGTGCGAACAAAGCTACCTTCCTCAAGCCTTTCGATCTCGTTGTCATTGAGGTACAGGAAGTTCAGAGTACTCGGAAGATTGGCGAACGAAGCCTCGGTGATTTTGTTCCAAGCGAGATTCAACTCCTTCAGAGCTGTCAACTCCGCGAAAGTGCCATTATGCAAATTGTTTACGGAGTTGTGAGATAGATCGAGTACCCTCAATGCTGTCAGACTTTTGAAGGCGGCTGGTTCAATTGTCGTCACGCGGTTCCTCATTAACATTAGCTTATGCAAGGACATTAGACCCTGGAAAGTATTATTCCGCAACGTTTCGATCTTGTTGTCTTCAAGATATAGATAGATCAGGCGGGACAACTTGGTAAATACACCATCTGGAACGGATATTATACGGTTTCCGTTCAGAACAAGGTCCGTTAAAGTCTTCGGCAACGTGGAGACGAAGTTTAGACTTTCCAGCTGATTGTCAACGAGATACAGTCCGTGCAACTTTGTCTTTCCGAATGCGTTGTCTTCGATTTCCTCGATCAGGTTGTCTTTGAAGTTGAGACTCTTTAGATGCTCGTTCTCGATCACCTCGCTCCAGATCCTGTGAATTTTGTTCCCCAAGAAGTTCACATCCGTCAGACCTGCTGGTAAATCGTTTAACGTCGCCTCCCTGATCTCAGCGATTTCGTTATTTGACAAATCTAACGAGGCGATCGGCAGAGACTGCAGCTGGTACCAGCCTTCCTGAAAGGCTGTGATGTTCTGTTCCTGAAGCATCACTTCCTTCTTGTCCGCGTCGAGTGGCACTTGGGCACACCCTTCTGCGAGTTTCTCATCCTTTTGGAGGATTTCCAATGACGTTACGATACCATCGGATTTGCAAAGTTTTACTCGAGTGTCTTTGCTCAAGGTTTCGAGGTTTTTTTGTTCCTCAAGAACTATGTTGTCAATTTCCTCTTTTTCTTCTTCGTCGGCGGATGTCACCTGGCTCGTTGCTTCCGCATGCTTAAGAAAAAAATTGGCAAACACGTCCGTACTGATGCTCCAGAAGATATTTCCATCGGTGAGGATTCTGGTAGACTTGGGCAGGCCGAACAGGTAACCTCTTCTGAGGTGTCTGATATGATTATGAGAGATGTCCAACAGCTGTAGGTTCTCCAAGCCAACGAATAGCGTGCGTATATTCGATATTTGATTGTTCGACAGCCACAGGTTCTTCAGCTTCGTTAGGTTGGAGAACACGAATTCAGGCAGTGAAGTCAGTGAATTGTTGGAAAGGTCGAGCGATTCTATATCGTCTACGTAGTCAAATGCGTTCTTCTGCAATGTATGGAGATTCATACTCGATAGATTCAGCTGAAGACTAGGCTCTCCGACGAAGCGAACGTTTCTTAGGGTATCATTGTCGATGTCCAAGAAATAATTCTTTGAAGGCGGCTCTATAGGCACGCTTGCTGCTAGAGGCAGCAAACATATAATAAAGGATAACATCCTCTGACGATTTCCTAAAAATAAAATCGTTAATTATAAAAAAGATTCTAAATTTTTTTGAAAAGTAGAGTGACAGTCGAGTCATTCAAATTTGAGTGAATTTTTATTTATATAGAGTGAATTCTCCACTCTGAACAGTTTATAAAAAAACATTGTCAGTTATAAAAAAATTTTAAATTCCTTCACGCAAAATTTCACACTGAGAAAAAAATTTAACATTTGTGGAATATAAGTTTATTTCTGTGAAATAAAGTTTATTTTTATGAAATAAACTTTTATTCCATAAATATCTTTATATCAAATATCTATTCCTTAGTGCACTCGAAAAGTAGGGTGACAGCCCTACTACAGTCACTCAAATTTGAAATTTTCGTTCATATAGACTGAGTTCTCTACTTTAAATAGTCGAAGGAAATATTTCTATTCTAAATCAAATAATGAATCTGATATAAGAATTAATTTACTTTGATTGATCGCAACACTCACTATGGATAAGAATTCATTTTAAGTTTGAGTTAATATTTTGTGATTTGATCAAAGCAGTCGCGTTGTTTTGCCCTGGTGTGTTGAAAGTGTGATATGTATTTAACCACACGTATTTTTTATGTTTTTCTAATTATATAAATACTGATATAAAAGAAAAAGATTTATTATTAAAATTAAAATACTCGGATTTTAATTGTGCTTACAATAGTTTTAATGTTACTAAACAGCGTTCTATATTTTTGACGATACAAGCATCTAATGAAAGATGTATGTTTTTATTGATGACATTGACAAATCACGATGGCTTAGATTCGCTGGTGAATTACAAAGTATTAGACATTCACTCCTATAATTCCTGATGACAATATTTTCACTATCGCTTCGACTGAAATTTGACTTCTTTTGAGTTGAGTAGAATAAGTGAGTTTCACTCTAAGAACTTAGAGATAATGTTTGGTGATATCGATCAATTTATATTATATTGTACCGGAAGTGCTGTGTGATTAATTAACGAAGTATTGCGAGTGAAACATGTGCATGTCTCGGCTTTATATCTAAGTAGTCAATCCCGGTAAAATGTGAGAAACTTCGTCAGGACGTTGACTTCGGGACTCCACGTTGATAGCCCGAGAAAATTCTACAGTGTGCGCGAGCGCTCACGTCATAGAATCCCACGCTTCGCGACTATTTCACGACGTCGCGTATGATAGCTCTCGTATCGGTATAATTACGTGAATCTTGATAAACGACGGCTTAGGCTACCCTCCGAAACTTATATCGGGTATTATGGGAACCGGTTGCGCGGCTCTCGAAGTCCAGGATGCGTAAATTACATAATTCACGATGCCTCGCAATAACTCCACGTGGATGCGCACGCATTCCAGCGGCGGCGTCGCGACACGTCGACGAGCAATTTTACCGTAAAGCTAACAAGTGCGTTATACACTATCTAAGATTCGAGATCGGCGAGAAGGTATGAAAGTGCGAAGACGAGGCGTGAAGGCTCGCTTTAAACGCGAGATCGCACTTCAAATGCTCCATCAACGTTATACGCTAAATGTACATGCAAAACACGGTCCGAGATCTTTGAGTGTGTAAGTATCTGAAACGAACTTTAGAGAGCCCAAGATAGGTTCAAATAGGAGACAGGTTAATTATGTATTTCGTTTATGTATGAGAGGAACAGTGGGGAAAAAAAATTGCAACTGTTCTTTTTAGAACAGTTTTAGAACAATTGGCATTTCTCCTTGAATTTCATTGAAATCGAACAGATATTGCAATTAGAAAAGAAGAAAATGTGATTTAAAAGCAGTGAAATAAATTTTCGATTGTCATGTAATTTTATTTCTTAATATTTACGATTATATTAAAAAATAAAAATATAGGATAAAGAATATAGAATATAGAATATAGAAATAATATTTTGTTTCCCCATCGTGTGAATAAATAAATTTCAGTGATGTGTTATTAATTTGAATTTTAATTAGAATTAATTAGATTAGTTAAAATAAAATTATATTTTCTGTGCAGTTATATGATATTAGTATATCATACTAATTACAATTTAATAAAAATTGCATAAAAATCATTACTTTAATTAATTTATAAATAATTTATTAATATTGTTTTCAATAATATATTATATATAATATAATATAATATATATTATATACTATATAATAATATAATATATAATTATATATTATATACTATATAGTTATAGTTATATTAATTATATATTATATAATTTTTAAAAATTATTATTATGTCCTTTAAAAATTATTATTCTTTCAAGTCAAAATATAATATAATGAAAGTAATCAAACCTTTATTATATTAATTTTTATTGCTTTTGTCTAAAAACCCCACTGTTCTTTTCACAATACATAAATGAAATACATAATTAACCTGTCTTATATTTGAACCTATCTCAGGCGCTTCTATAAAGTTTGTTTCAGATACAGTTTGCACACGAAGATCTCAGATAGTGTTTTGCATGTACATTTAGTGTATAACGTTGATGGAGCATTTGAAGTGCGATCTCGCGTAGACTAAAGTAACTTTATTAATAGAATGATTAAAGTCGAATATATTGATAATTAAATGAGATAGGTTAATCAATATTTAACTACCTGAAAGCTTGTTCATGATGTATCTAATTGTATAATAATAGATTAAATAATTTGTAAAATAAGTTATAGTTAGTAATAAATTATAGCAAATTATATTTAATAAAATAAAGCACTATTTAAAATAATAACACAATACATAAAAATATATTATTGTAATAATATTATATAGTAATAATAAAAATAGTAATTAAAACATCAAATTAAGAATCTAAGAAAAAGAAAAGAAATTACGATATCATTTTATCTATCAAAAACATATCTTTGCAAATTTTTCTGAAGCAAAATATAGTAACAATAAACTTCATATATTACAAAATAGTTTTAAACAAAATGCTTCTTAAGGCTCCCTCCTCTCCAATCCCTTCACAGTATAACAAATAAACAATCAGAAGAGAAATAATTTTTATTCTGATATATAAAATTGTAATTAAAATTTAATTAACATTTAAATATTAATTACAATTTAATAATTGCATAAAAATCATTATTTTATTTAAAGAGTTTATTAAATTTATATTTAATAAGAACTGTATATTATATAGTTTTTAAAAGTTATTATTATATTCTTTAAAAATTATTATTATTATACGTTCTTTAAAATAATTTGTTTACGTTCTTTCAGGTCAAAATATATTATAATGAAAGTAATCAAATCTTTATTATGTTAATTTTTATTGCTTTTTGTCTAAAAAAACGTGTCTTTACAAAATCAACGTTATAACATAATTTTGACATAGGTAAGTTTTTTAGCTTAGCAAATAAACATTTAAAAAAATTATATTATTATTATATTATTATAAAAATTATATTATTATTATTATATTATTATAAAAATTATATTATTATAAGAAGATTTTTACATTATAAATTTTTATATTTTTAAATTAAGAATTTTTATATATTTAATTTTTTAATTTAAAGATTTTTATATTTTATAAAAAAATTTTAAATTATAATCTCCGCAGTCATAAATGCAAAATATAATAATGCGATTTTTTTATATCCCTTTCCAAATAGGAATTTACTACTGGCATTAAGGCTACTGGGGAGTCGCATCATCCATCTCTTTTTAATGACGTCAGAAGCGAGAAAACGCATGCTAAAAATTCCTGCAAAATACATCGAGATAAACAGATATATCTACAAAACGACATTTGCGATCGATTAAGTACATCTCTAAAATACTCCGTACACTTTCCTTTTATTCTA